GGGAAAGAGGATAAAAGAAGTAATGAATGAAAACAGAAAAGCCTGGGTGTTTGGGGATGTGTGACTGAAGAAGCTGGAAGGTGAGATTAAGTTTGTCACTGAAATTCTGTCATGCTTTACTGGCATAGCTAAGCAGCAGTATCCAGTAGAGCAATGACTGGAAATGTACATAGATACATGTTCATACAAACTGCCTGGTTGCTTCTGGCAAAATATTGGTGCTGGAGCAGCTGTATGTCACTCAGGCCTCCTAGAGGGCAGTGGTAAGGTAACACAGTGCCCTCTAGCCCCAAGTGGAGTGGTCGCTGCAGGGTTCCTTGAATCAGTATTTCTAAAAGCGTTTACTGACCAGCATTGGTGGGAAAGGGAAAGATGTTGGTTCCATGTCATTGCTGTGGTTTTATTTTTTTCATCACAGCTGCCAAGGGTTTTTCCATAAAAACAAGCAAGTCAAAAGATAAGTAATTACCTTGATGCTTATTTATCTCTAAGCATTTTTAATCTGTTTTTACTGATTAGAGTTCTTAGCTTCATCAAAAGGGTGTATGTTCACGAACAAAGTACAACCACGTACCTTAGAGAGAATTAAAACAGTCATGTGCCAGTGAAGACATGAAACCTGTATTTCTAATTAAAAATGTCCTCATTCAGAATGCCATTGCTTTAAGTGGGATTTAGCTAGTTCACACCTTTCAGAGAAAGTAAAGAACTGTTTGGAATGTGCACTGACAGTTTTTTTCAGAAGCTTATACGTCTCTTCTAAGAGACTGCATCACCAATAGCATTGGTACCACAAAGCTAGATCGAGACTTGAGCTGAACAACTGTTCTCTTGTTGCACTCTGATTTCCACTCTTGCATAGGATGTACAGTCTTGTGTAACCTGAGATGCTGTGGATGTAAGGCAAAAGATTATCTTTCACAGCTTTGTAATAAAATTTTAAATGGTCGAACATGATGTACAATAAACATCTTCAGATGGTTGATCAAATTACTTTATTCCAGCTGTGTTCTGTAGTGCTGGTTTTACATGGTTTATTTTTTACTGAGAAGTATGCTGCAGCTTGATGTTACTGTGTGAATTGTGTGGCTCTAGTTATTTTTTGTGCATTTGTTCTTGTTCCTCCTAGGTGTATCCAGATGAGTCTCATCCCAGGTTTGTCTCCTCAAGTGGTGTTTTCCCTTGAGAATAACTTACTAAATTTTAAAGAGGCTTTCGAAGACATTTATACTTTATTAACCTGTTGACTGGCAAGCTTGGTCTGCACTAGTTGTGTTGCCTTAGTTTTTAGGCAATTTGCATCTTCTCTTGATGAAGTAAAACAGTATTTGCTAATATGGACAGCCTCACAGTCAGAGCTGCCCAGAGGCAAGTTCTTGCCTGTATTTGCTAGCGTTCTGATGGTGCAAACTTACTAATTTCCAGAGGGAATTTGAAATTCATTAACTGTCTGGATTTGGAATTCTACATACTATTTCTAAGTTGCTCAAAGACAGTAGCAGTATTTCCTTGCACCAGTTCTGGAATAAACTCAGTTGAAATGATGCAAGAAAGATGTCATTTCATTTTGTTTTGAAGCAAGAACATGCTTGTCATTCTTTGGGGTTTTTAAGCTATTGAAAGGCTGCCTCAGACATACCTTGCCAAAAATTTGTTGATTTTGAAGCATTTGCTGAGGAACTACTACTGCATGACTGTGTGGGTTTTTTTATTTTCCTTTCTGCTTTTCTCAAAGCTTCAGCTTTGGATGCTTGTTTTACTTGTATGGATCTTTTAGGGGTAAGAATGAGAGGTATCTTCTGGCGCACTGTGATATTGAGGAATTTGGGGAATGGCTTGGGTAAGACATCCTCCTCTGTGTCTCAGCTTCAGGCATCTATTTGTCAGTGCTTTGGCAGGGTAACACCATGACAGCAAAGCTCTTAAAACACTTGCTAGATCATCTACTGCAGAGCTTTAGAAAGCAAAGACTTAGAAGTAGGTTAGTAGCAAAGCTCCAGTGGAATTACAATAAATATAGCTGGCTCTGGCCAAGGGTGAAGTTTTCCAGTTATCTTACTTTGCAGTTGTGCGAGTCTGTCTTGTGGTGTGCATTCTTTGTTCTTCTGTCTTGAAACCTCATATTCTGGTTTAATTTGTTGAGTGTTTACTTTCTAAATTGCCAGGCTCTGTTAATTTTTCTTCTGTTATATATGCTCACTCATTTCTCTCCATCCATTAAATTTAATTTTCATCTTTCCCTTTGCAAATCCTGCACCAACATCAAGGATTGCTTTGGGAGCAAACAATTAACAAAGTCACTTCATGAAATGCATTTTGTGTTTGAGTCATGCTTCCCTAGTGTCAGTTTTCTGTCTGAAACATCATTTCTCTTATGCCTCTCAGGTGAGAAAGTTACTTTAGATACCTCTGGGACAAAGCTTAAATCTCTTTCCATGTGCAAATTTCTAAATAGTAATTTAGGGTTTAATTCTTGGTTCTCTAGTCTTAGCTTCCTGAAGTTGAGTTTTCTATTGCTTGGAGAACTTCTCTGATGTTTGTATTGGTGCCACAAATACTGTGACCATAATTATGTTCAGTGTTGCTTTAGTGCTGTATAGTGGTAACCCCGTTAGCATATTTATATAGATATAAAATTGTATATGCTGATGGCTGGTACTATAGTAACTACAACAAAAATGTTTGAGGATGGAAGTCTAAGCATATTGTGCCAGTGTAAAAGTTGGGCGAGCAAACTGGTAAAGGTAGAGATCAGGGGTGATCAGAGTCAAAGAGGGATTAGGAATGCTGACCATGGAGAAGAAATGACCGCACACATAAGGCTGATTTATATTCTGGTTTCTAAGTAACAGATATATTCTGCACAAGTGCTTTGTGTAGATTCTTTCATGTTACTAGTTAGAATCCTAGAACTGTTTTGCTGCATCTCTTCATTTCCCCTGGATTACCAGTCATAAATGGAGAAAAGGGTGGGATTCCTAGTGAGAAGGAAGCAGATGAGTTTTAACTAAGGCCAAAATCAGACTTGATTTTTCTGCTGAAACTTGTGTAAAATTAATGTATTGAGGACAACTGAGCATCCCTGAAAAATTCTGAAATGCATAAAAATCGGGAATACAGGTGGGTGTAGGTGAAATGTACCTTGGTTTTCCAGGTCTGTAAATAAATCCTAATGATAGAATGCAAGATTTGTGTTTGGTTTGGGTTTTTCATCTGAGCATTTTACTTTTTGCCATTTTGAAGCTTTCTTACAGCTGGAGAAAAAAGAAAAAAAACTAACCATCGATCAGCCATCTAAAGGAACAAGAAAAAATTATTCTTTCACAAATGAAGAAGTTAGACAGATTGATCGGGAAAACCAAAGGTTGCTGAAAGAACTGTCCAGACAGTCTGCAAAGCCAAGAAGAAGCACCACGTTGAAGAAGTCGGCTGTACCGCCTCCTAAATTGTACCACAGTGCCCTCAACAGGCAAAAGGAGCAGCAAAGAATTGAAAGAGAAAACCTGGTAAGTTTTGAGAACTGTTTGGGATCAGTAAATTGAAAAGGACTGTCTGTTGTCAGACGAGCTACTGCTAAATTTTTACAAAACTGATAAGGCAGCACTTGGACCTTTACTGTGGTAAGTCTGCAGTGAATTTCCATTACTATGCTGTTTGCATAATTGTTGGGGGGGGGAGGGGGATGATGCCTTTTCCAGGCAAAAATAGAATTTGGTTTATATGAGTTTGCTCTACTTCAATATAATTCATTTAAGAGGAACAACCATTACTGGTAACACACTCATAACTTTAGATAGCAGTCTGGCTGTTCATGCTGCTTTGTGCATCATGATTACTAGTCTTTCAAGAACAGGCTTGCAAATAATAGTGATCAGTGCAATATCCTTACACCCATTGTATTTGAAATACAAAGGACACAATGTGAATGTCAGTTTTGGGGTTTGACTCATTTTATAGCAATCAGTCTCTTTCAATATTTGTAGCCCTCTGCTTGTCACAGTATTTGAATGTAAAGGCAATCACAATAACTTTAGTGGAAAAAAAATTCAGACTCATAAGGATATTGGCAGAGTTGTCAAAAATAATACTGGTTTGAATAGATACTTTTAGTGATGGAATTGTAATACGTGTAATGACATTTTTATATCTCCTAGTTTGTTAGTGTGTTTGAAAAGGAGATAAAATATAGTTAAAATACCTGGAAAATTTATAGTGGAAGTAATTTACTCACTTTTTTCTTCTGTGTAAGCATAGGTTGCAATTTCCTTTGGTATAGATAAAGATTCAACGTGGAGAAGTCTAGTCATAGGTTGCAATTTCCTTTGGTATAGAACGTGGAGAGGTCTAGCTGACCTATTCAGGAAAATCAGTTAGGTTTTAGCTCTTACAGCTTTCAGACATCTCAATTCTTAAAACTTTAAAGTAGGAAACATGCTCCTCAGCTCCACCAGCCTACGGTTGATCGAGAACATTTTACCTCACACGTTGAATGAATTTGGCATCAATACTTCTTATAGATGTGTGATGCTTTTCATTGTCTGGGGAAGAAATTTTTTTAGGCTTGCATGGTTTTAAATTGATAGGGGGGTTTTCTTCATATGTTGTGGGATTTGTTGTTGTTTTTTGGTGATTTAAAACATTGAAAGCAGGATGCTCTTCCACGTGAACCTTGATACTCTTAGGGTATGGGGAGGAAGTGCTGTGTTACAGTCAGAATCTAGTAGTAATATGCTGTACTACATAACAGACGATAACTATAAATTAACGTAGATGATGCTTTACAATACACTTCTGTTTACTCAAAGCCACAGACCTTTTCTCATATGATATATTCCAATATTATGTCCAAAAATGTCTTGTCTGGATAAAAAAATCAGCCAGCCTAAGTACATTTAGTCATTTCACACATTGCTGGTTTAGTACGTGTTGGAGCTTAATTAGGTTAGGTGGTTGCTTGTAGTCAAAAAAAAAACCAAAAAACCTTTCATTTACGCTTTAGTTGTTGTCATCAGCCACATGAGTGGACATGTTTGACATCAGAAACATTCCTTAGAATTTATGTTAGGACATCGTGCTATCTTAGACTATAAAAATATTTGGCTTAGTCTTTTTTCCCCAGACTCAGGGAGATATGTTCTCTTTCCTTTTTGGAAGAGTGATTCATCAGTACAGTGCCTCTGTTTTTTTTAATATTGCTATCATTTTTGAGCAATTCTGTTTACTTTTTAATTCTATTTTAAACGTATGTGCACCTAGAGCATCACAGTTGCAACATACTGATTTTTTCTTAGCACTCCCTTTTGGTATTACAACTGTGGCATGCTTTTCTCAGAAAATGGACGGGATGGAGCTGCCCCACCCTGCCCATTGATGAGGTGTTTTTTACTTCATGTAGCTAAAAAAGTGTGTGCTTTCTGAGCTTGTTGTTTTCTTCTGGTCAGCAGCTTTCTTCACCTTTGTAGATGGAAGAGCTAGAATTCCATGGAACTTCATCCTCAGTCTTTCTTGTGTTACTTGACAAGAATTTTATTTTTCCCTCTGTAGTACAAGGCCTGAGGTCGTGCATAGGAGATATGCTTCATTCTACACCTTTGTGAAATGTTTGTTAGAAGGACATGGGCTTTTGTAAAGAATTCAAGAATAGGAATTTACAACAGTCCTCTGTGCAGGGAGTTAAAGTTTTGATGCAGGATTTTTTTTTTTCCCTGCTGGATTACTGCGTTATAATTTCTTGTCCTGAAGTTAATAACTTGTCTAGGGACAACTTTCACTTGTTCCACTGGAACATTCTTGGAGTGATGCCTATATTTACTGTTACCACAAAGACAGCTTGATTTCTGGTACAGGCGCTTGGCATCAGAGGTGGTGTAGAGAAAGTAATCAAAATATTAGGACATTGGAGTGGTTTGGTGCTCTCTAGCTTTGTGAAAGGGGGCAAGGAGGTAGAGGGAATACATGTTCCTGCTACAGCCTCTGCTAGAAAGAGCCATGATGGAAAAAAAAGGTACACTCCTCTGAAGAACAATAGTTATAAGGTAGTGATTAGCAGTTTACTGACAAAGCACAGCTAGCAAAGTGATAGCTGCTAATTTTAGAGTTTTGTACTTGCTGGCTTTGTGCTTTACTGAGTGGAACCTGCTTCTGATTGCTTCTCTGAGCTAGCAAGTGCATCTCCTGCCGATAGAGGATGCTGCTGCTTCAGAAAAGGTTCTACACTTGTGTTTGAAGATACTCTCAGCCTCATCTCCTCTCCAGTGAAAAGGGACAGAAGCATGACTGATGTGTAACTCTTTTCCCATGTCTGCATATATGACATACTAAGAATTATTTCTGACAATGTAAATAAGATACTCAGCTTCATGAACCTGACACTACACACAATTTAAACTTTTAATGGTTTATTGCGTGATGGAAAACCCTATATACAGGTGGGTGTTTGGGGACCTTGGGACCTCAAAATATAGATTTGCAGCCACAGCACCATTCTTCATCTGGATGTAGAAGTAATTCATATCTCTGTTGGTTTTTGTTGTTTTTTTTCAATCATTTTTATTAATTCTGACGAAGATTTGGGTGTTAGATGACCTTGGTAAGCTAAGGTGCTGTGTTCTTAGGGAACAAGTGACCTTTTGAGTTGATACTGGAAGTTCACTGAAGATTTCAGCAGGTCTGGGACAGCAGTTCTCAAACCTTAGATCAAGAAGGATGAGGGTGGTGTTCTTTCCTGTGGTTATTTGGTCTTTCCATGTATCCCTGTCCGTTTTTCCTACCCCAAGCTGTTACAACTCACTGCACGTAACATCCATGTTGCTAATTCCCCCACTTCATACTACCCCACAATGTACCCTAAGCCCCATAGATCCAGCTCGGATCCCAGTTCCTGCACAGTCACCCTCCCAGACAAATAAAACAAATCACTGTGTTTCTCTGCAAGGGCTATCTTTCACTTCTCACCTACTTGGTTCCCTCAGTCATCTGTGCTGCAGATATGAGTAACGCTTCTCTCCACCGTTTGTTCTAATCATTGTGGCTTCTACCAGCAGAAAAGTCCTTCAGCAGAACTGTTTCCCTTTTCTCACAGACTGGGCTGCCTTTGTCTTGCTGGAAAACATGAACCTGCTTTAGCCATGCAAGTAATATACAGTTATAAATGGATGTATATTCATTTGTCTCAGCTCGATTTAATGGTGCTGATGGGCTGCAGTAATTGAGTGGAGAGAAAAGGGCAAGGGAGGGATGGTGCCTCTGGCCATGCCCTAGCTGGCTGCCATGACATGCAAAGAATGTACCTTATCTTGAGCCACAGCCTTCAGTTTTGTGCTGCATTGTGCCTGCCCTGGCATCCATGTCATACCAGGGAGAGAAATTCTAGACATGGAAAGAAACAGGATGGGAAGGGCTCTAGTCCATCAGGGTTGTGCTTTGGCACCTGGTACTTTCCTCCTTTGATGTTTTCTGCACTGCTTTTTCTCTGCCTTCCCTTTGTCCTGTCCCCAAGGACTACTCCTTGAGACTGAGAACATCAGTCTTGATTATTTTTCACACGGCTCAGATTTTTGGGGGGGGTTTCTTGTACTCTTAGCCTACTTTCTTCATGGTGGGGCCAGCCACATAAAAAACTAGATAGCTGCTAAGTTTAAAAGACTTTTCTGTAGATAAAGAGCTTTGAGTTAATGCCACTGGCAATTGAAGAAAATTACAAATACTTGTCTTGATAAGAAAAGAAGGCTGTCCTTGAATGCAGTGTTAGGTACTTGCCCTTCCCCAACTGGTCTCTGCAAAAGGATAGTGTGGTCACTAACATCACTGACATTAGAGGAGGCATAATATAAATAAATCTGAACAGCTGTCAAGACACACTAGCCAGTTGGTTAGGATTCAGAGGAGGTGAAACTGAAGCCCTCATGCATTTAAAAGGCAAAGTGAAACAAATAACATTTTTTTTACCTTCTCTCTGAACTCAAGTTTAGGGGAGTGCTGCATTTTCAGTGTTTTCTTTTTCTTTTCAACAAAGCTGCAGAAAACTGTACTTTTTTTTTTATTTTATTTTTTCTGACAGAGAATACTAGAATTAGCTTTAGTGCTCTCCTAATATGCCCAAAGTTGAATTGGCAGGATTTATCTTGGCCCATTGTATAGCAGCAATCTTTTGATACAGTGTCAGGTTCCTTTGTTCTCCAGTTGGCAATTTGGCATTTTCTTCTGTCATTCGCAATATGTGTTTTAGTGTCTTCATAGATACTAATCTATGACCAGATGCTTTGGTTTATAAAGGATTATACTATTCCTAGAAGGTAATCGTGCAGGAAAACATGCTTTAATTTTTTTTTCTAATATTATTATTCCATTTCTATTGTAAACTCAGTATTATAATAAAATAAAAGAAGAAGGGATAAATAGAAGCCTTGGGAGGCTTTTGCCAAGCCTTTTGTCATCAATGGTACGATATATGTATTGAGCTTCAATCAAGAGCTCTGAGGATATACAATGTAATTTAGAGCAGCTAGTGACATTCCTGCCATTAGTGTCTGTTACTCCCTTTTTTTTTAATTACTTAAATCTGATAGGGAACATGTATTTGGTTCTGAACACCTGTATCATGTTATGTGATCTGATTCTTTAGTTATCAAGATCAGTCTTGAAATTTTTTTTTACTCTAGTGGTGCAGGATTAAGGCTGCAGAGATTTAGCACTTCAAAAGTACAAAGAAAGTGGCAGTGTTTTTCAGTCCATTTTTCAAAAGGAGAGCATAATGAAAGAATTAGTGGTTCTTTTTCAGTTATACATATAAATCATTTGTTTAAGATCCTTGTACCATTGTACAAGGTAATTTCTTGGTTGAAGACCTCAAGATTGTAGGGTTGGAAATAAACCCATAAGAGAGGGATTAGTTCCGGGTTACAGGTTTAGTAGGTCAGAACTGCCATTTCAGTGTGCTGATGAGTTCATTTCTGCATGCAGCAGGCCCTTCTCCAGACTGCAAAATCCATGGCTGCAAATAGCATGTAAGTTAACGTGCCCTTGGTACGATTTGCAGCAGAGGGCAAGGGAACCACTGGAGCTGCTCCCTCATTCTCCAGAGGAGCTTTTCTTGCAACTCTTGAGCACCACAGAAACTATATCTGCTCTTTCTGTAGCTCAGGACCGTATGAAGTCCAATGAGGAACCTGTTCAAAAAGTAGTGTTCTAGTACTGAGAGGGGTCTCTTTTTGCCTTAGTAATGGGGACTTGGAACTTGTCAACATGGAGGCATAGAAGCAAAAGCAGAAAATTGTATTTGAGCTTGAATAAAGTGGGCATATATAAATACCGCATGGTCAGAATCAAGCTTGAAATGACTGCAGTGTTAAGGTGTGCAAATTCTGTGAGGGTGTTACAGCTGGAGTTCAGACCTAAAACGTGTTCAACTCTCATAGGGAGGTCACTTCTGACAATTTACCTGATTCATTTGTGATCAGATTGAATGTATTGAGAGCTTCCATTTTTAATCTTGAAGGTAAATAAGTGATCTCTGCAAGTCTAAATGAATGCAGTTGTATTAGGAGGTGCAGATGGAGTTGTCTCTAAATGTTTTAGCCAACATTTTATTCGCAAGTCTACCAGTTTGTGTTTTGCAATTGGCTTTAACGAAGAGCTATTTCTAGCTGAAGTCCTTCCTTTGACTTTTGCTTACTTAGGTATTTCCACTTGACGATGAGCTGACTGGCACTTGATGCAAGCGCCTGTGACATGCGCCTGAGCCAAAATCTGTTGTCCCTTCTCTTCTGTGCAGGTTTCCAGTGCCCATGTATAAACTACCAAGAGTCTGTAGATTCCTATTACAGCTAGACAATGGTAACTGACATCCTTTGAATACTATATCCTAAATCACTTTCTGTAAATCTTTTTTATTCTACTAAAAAATAAATCGGTGCCTGATTCGGAGTGGGGAAGAATGATCATTTCATACAAAGTGCAGTTTAATGGCTATACAGACAGATTCTTGACTTCTACCCATATAAGTGCATCCAGACAATACATCCTTATTAGCAGAGGTACTTTTAGTACTTTGGAGACTTCAGACACTGGATCACAGTTTGCATTGTCCCTCTTTGATAGAATGCATGTCATGAAACAAGCATTTCTGGTGAGAGTTATTGCCAAATGTTTGTAGGTCATCAAATGAATTAATTAGTGGAGAGAATGTATAGATCTATGCAAGGCAATCACTGGAGGCAAAGTATTATTAAATATGTGAAGTTGGTTGGAAGTTGCATGTAGCTGGGTACTTCCAGATTTATCCTGCCATCAGATTGTTTTTTTAGATTATAGAAATTTCTTAAATCAACAGATCCTGTTTCAAGTAGAGCTTATTATGTAGAATGGGAAACTGTATCTTACAAATACTGTGTAAGTAGCTGTTGTAATTTAATGTTTGGTGCATGATTGCCAGGGGTAATTTCAACAAGATGATATTATGTCTATAACAATTTAAACTAGAATTTCTTAAAATTTCGTTACAGATAAAACAGTGCCCAGTGGATGTTTTGTGCTTTTCTTTTGACACAGATTTTAGGTCTCTATGGGGATCCTGGAGGGCAATGTAAAATGGTATAAGAATGTTTGCAAAGCAAACATTAAAAAAAAAAAAAAGAATTTCTCATCCTTCTAGAAACTTAGAAGAGAGGAGTAACCAGAGGTAGGATTAGAAGAGCACAGCTCACCTGTATTCACATTAGTTTGGCAATAGTTTCAAGTTACCATAGTTACCATATAGTACAGAGGAGTATGGGGTACTAAAGATGTACTCCACACAGAAGTGAGGTTGTGTAAGGGACGGTTAGCGTTTGTGTCATCTGGCAACACGGAGCAGAGAATTCAGCGTGAGCAGAACAGCCTGTGCTGATCGTCAGTGGAAGAGATCCTGTGGGCAGTGCTAAAAATTTGAGCATTTTTTTTCGGGTCAAGTGAAAAATCATTTGTGGGTGTTTGTTTTGGAGCTTCTTATTTATTCATTCTTTCTCAATGATATTTTTCTTTGATCTTAAGGCTTTCCTGAAAAGACTGGAAGCAGTGAAACCAACAGCTGGTATGAGGCGTTCTGAGCAGCTGATGGATTATCAGCGCCAGATGAGTTACCTAAGTTCTTCACCATCTGTAAGAAGAGGAAAGTCTGCTTTCAGCCAGCTTAGTCCTTCAAGTAAGTACTTTGAAGTTCCAGATTCTTGGATTTCTTTGCATGTGTTTATCTTTATATAATTGAGAATTGTGAAGCACTTAGTGCTAAGAATAGCAAAGAAGCTCCTTCATCTGTCTTCCTGAGGCTGATCATTTATCACACAAATAAAGTGATTTTTTTTAGTCATATCAAGTGTGTGGCAACCACATGAATTAATTACCATCATAAATCTCTAATAAATTGTCTTGTTAATCATCTTTTCCAAGAAAGTAAAAAAATCCCTGTTGTAAAGAAGTATTGCTCATTTTGGCAGTACCCTTTATTGGAAGGAGAAGAGAGAGAAGAAGAAAAAAGGCACAAAAACCCAACCCCACAAAAACCCCAAAGAAAGTGCAAATTCTCATTCAGAAAATGTAAATCTACTGATGGTAACCTTGTTTCTTTTAGAAATTGTGTGTGTGATATTTGGAAGTAGATCACATGTCCCCATAGATGTCACATGTCAAGTAAAGAACCACAGCACTATGGCACAAGCTTGAACTCTTTGTTGTAACAAACAACTCTAACATTTTGGGTTTGTATTCAACTTACTGTGATTTGGGGTTTTTTTCTGAAAACTATGGTGATGAGTGCTGCAGTGCTAATATAGCATGTAGTTTTCTGTTCTACCAAGCATCAGCTTTCTCACTCTTTTTGTGTGTGTGTTTGTGTTAACAGGAGGCACTTCAAGAGCATCGACAGTACCAAGTACAAGGAGCCAGAGGAACGAAAATCCTGTGTCCGATTCCGCCAGTGGGGCACTACAGAGACCTAAAGCCTCTAATGTCCATGCTGCTTGGTTATGAGTGTGTTCTTTGCCTCGCATTCTGAGATGATCCTCCAATTTCTATTTTTAGTGCTTTTGTAATTTCTATGTGCAAAAATATTTTCTGCACTGTTCAGTGATAAAAATACATTGCATATGTTATAATTGCTTATAAAGTGGTTTTAAGTGGACACTTTTCACGTCAGTGTTTTACATGAAAGGAAGAACTTAGGAAAGAGAAGGAAGTATTTAAATGGACAAGTTAAATGGAAATTATTATTTTATTCTCAAAATGTAAGTGGAATTTGTATCCATAACATGAAAGGACAGAATCGCTGCACTATAGGAGCAAAATGGAAAGAAAATCTTTAAAATAGTATTTTCAAATATTGCATTAAACTCATAAGCATTTGCTTTATTCCTAGAGTGTCTGTTTTTCATCCTGGCTTTAGGTAAGCCTTTTGAACATTGTGGGTCATGTTCTTATGACTGAAAGAATCTTCTTTTTACAGCAGCATGAAAGGGTGAAAAGCAGATTGTGTTACTCTGTGGTTAACTAGAATGCCAAGGCTGCAGGATATGTTCTGCCACTCTTGCACTCCAGGGTGTTGAACTTTGTTTTGTACTCGAAGCTGTGTCTCTTCCAGATTTAAAAGACTTTTGCAAGTTATATTGGGACCTTTGTTTAGGAAAGAAGCATCTAATACTATTTGAACAAGAGTAAAAACTGAAATGAGCAACGGTTTCAGATACACTCTAAATGAGAGTAAGTTTTAGTTACCTCTCAAGCTGGAGAATACTAAGCAAGGAAATATTTCATGACCATGCTTCTGCAGATCCTTGCCTGTCTTGGTGGGGAGATAGAAACCTGAGCTTCAGGAAAAGAAAATATGATTTTGAGAGTGACCACTAACCAGCATTTAGCAAACAGACAAACAAAACAATGGAAAATAGAAAACGATCGGTATTTCTTGTTTTTTAATGTCATGTTGGTACCAAATATTTGTCATATGTATCAGCTAAGCTTCGGCAGCAACATGCATTTACCAGGGGAGCAAAATGTAATGGAATTGGTAATTGCAGATAGGTGGTATGCTTTATTTCTATATGTAAAGGCAAACTTTCAGTGAGCTTATTTTGTAGGACAGTAGTCTTAAAAGAGCATAAATTGTGATGCCAGTATCCATGGATATTGCTGGAACCCTGCTTGCTTCCCCAGCTTCTTCCCAGGAGATACAGGAAATCTCTTTGTATCATGTATAAAGAAAAAAAGCTGTATTCACTAGTGCTGGGTCTCAGCTGTATAAAAAGGAAAGTTTAATATTCTCTGCTTGTGCTTGCATGAGGGCTTAGGCTTTCAGGTGTTCTGCATTGTAACAAACTTTTTACTTGGTCCTGTGTGATAGTTTGGCAGAGCTTCTGCACCTGGTGACCTGCGGATCAAATTTAGCTCTTGGGCAATATTTGAACTTTTAACCTTAAGCAGCATTGTGGCAAACAGATTTTTGTTGTAATTATTATTCATTGATAGGGACTGCAAGGAGCTTTTTTTGACTAGTGCTGCTGTATTTATTTGTACTATTGTACTAATCAAAATTATTTACTATTTAAAGATTTACTTTTTTTTTGTCCTTGAATGTGAATATCAAGGTCAGACTTCAAAATACTTTCAATGTTCATATGATAATCTTTTTTCTGTGAAGGAATTTACAAAATTGATTACTTTTAATCGTTTCATGGTTATTTAACTTTGCTATGAAAGACTGTCAATTTTGTATGTCATTTTTGTAAACTATAAATAAAATAATTGTCATTGCAGTGGCTTCTTTCAGAATTTTATAGTTGGTATTAAAGTGCAAAGGAAAACATGGGAGGAGTATTTTGTACTACATGTAGTGGAGGAAAATGCAGAGTCCGTTCATCTGCTGATATACTTTTACCTGTCAGTGGCTTTGGTGTGGCTTTTTTAAAGGAAGACATATTGACAAGTCCTCATTAAGTTAGATAATATCATCAATATTTTATAAATCTGCTTCTAATAGACTTGTTTTCTGTCTTTTTTTTGTAAGCTACCACTTTTATGTTATCTTTTTTTTCCTCTCTCCAGAAGATCTATATGAAAGAAAAGTGTAAGCTGCTTTGCTCCCTCCTTAAAGGGAACTGCCACACTTGTCTGACACAGTTTCAGGCAGGAGCCAATCTCCCTGCTGATGTGACATGATTGCTAGCTTGAGTGACAGCACTTGCCATGTCACTTTCACTACTCTGAGAAATGTCCTGTGATGTCTCCGTTGTGTCCCTACCTCATTGTGAGCTCCAGTTCTTCCAGAATAGGGTTCTGCTGTGTAGTCTGTCTACAATACTGAAAGTCTTAAAGAAGACACTGACTCAGATCACTGACTATATGAGAGCAACAGGGAGTCGTGGTGTCACACATCCATACAGGGATACATGTGAAGAGCATTTTCCCAAGCAGACTATTGAGTACTTTAAAACTCAAGTTTTAATCCCAGCAAACCTAAAGGATTTAAGGTAATTTGGAAGAACCACACCAGGCCATTCCTTATATAGAACGTATAGACTTTCCCCTGTGCCAGAGCCTGTCTCCTATCGGGTTCCTTGCAGTCTTCACTGAAGATTCTGAGCTACCCCTGCTGTCATCCTGCCACTCAGATAACGGTTTGTTTGATTGTCCTGAATCAAATGGCTGGCTGGATTTGTCTCCCAAGATATATGTAGACTTTGCATTGGACTGTATTTTCTTGATTGTCATCTAATGAGTTGCAGGATAAAGCCCTGAAGAAAGCCTGAGACTCTTCCTTCTAACAGGTTACCAGTAACATTTTTATCCCAGTGATGTTCCTTTTTCTCCATGGTCATTAGACAAAAATAACCTCCTGCCTTCCCAGCCTGGGGTGTTCATTGAGTCATCTGATAGGTGAGAGGTGGTGCATTTCTCTGGAGCACAGTCTGCACCTGAGTGTGGTGGAGGTGAGCGCTGTGAGGTACATCAAGTCTAGGTGTGCAATCATGTGCATCGTGTGTAGGCGATGATGGGTATTTCCACTGCGATATCAACAAGAAAAAGAGGGGGAAGGCTCCCTGTGTTTGGAAGTGGTGTATCTTACGAGCCAAATACACTGAGCATCTGGTGCAATCTTTGTGATCTTTAGCTGCCCAAAATCTTGAACTAACTAGTGGATGAACCACACCATTTCCACCTGGTGAGTGAGAAACATTGAAATAAGAGCTGCATCTGGAGCTATCTTCCAGAACTGAACTTATGTTGGGGTCATATTGTTTCAGATGTCAGCAGGGATTGCTAATGCTTGCAGTTCTGATTTGGTTTGTCTGCAGGATGCATGGTTCTAATGCCTTGGTCAAAAAAGCTGCTGTATGTTTCCTGGTAACTTTCCTCCCTGACCAAGATGAGATGGGATTTGGTGACATTGATCCTTGTAGCTGTCACTTCTGCTCCTAGGACTACCTGTTATTCACTGCAGAGTCCTAAAATGCTGTTTTTCATGATGTTTTGTTCTGGGGTCTGCTTGTGTACCAAAGTCTTTATTACATGTGGTCAGAGCTTGGAGCAAAAATGATAGGACTCTGCTCTCTCCACACAGTGGTTCTTAGGACTAGAACATGCTATTGAGAGATTTTTGCTGTTTTAAAGCAAGAGGGACTTCACAAGGAGAACACACAGGTGGCTGAGATTTGCCACCTGTGGCATGATATGTCTTTCCCTGGCATCTTAGGTTGGCTAGTGGCACTTCCATCTCCTGCTGAGATTACCCAGCAACCGCAACTGTGGCATTCCTGCAGATGGAGTGTTCTTCTGTTCTTTGCAACAATATAGTGAGGTTTTTTTCTCCTGCTATGCTTCTCACCATGTCTTAAACTCTTCTCTGTGGCTTTTAAAGAAGTGATGGCTGCTCCTTCCATGACAAATGTAGGGCAGAGAGTGGAGGTCATCATCTCCAGAAAGGTAGGGGAGGCTCAATCTTCTGTCACAGATTCTCCCCCTCCTCCTCTCTGCACCAGGCTATGCTCTTTAGAGACAGCTTTATCTTGCAGACCCACCTGAATTTCCTAACCTCTTCTTTATCTAAATGATCAGTGTACCTCAGTTCCCTCCCCAGGTGAGCATCCTGTCAGAGCTGGGTAGTACAGTATATGCTGGATGGTAGGTGAGCTTTGTCTTCCTATATTCATAGGATATATTACTGGGCTGTTGAGGGCAGGTGCCCCCATATTCAGGTGTGTGATGTAAGGGAATATTGGTGTTGACACAGGCTTTTTCCTGCACATTGCAAAGGTGAAAAGTTTTGGGGCAGTGGTATCATCTGTGGTAACTGAGGTTCATCTGACTGGGGTTCAATTAGCAGTTAGACTGTCAAAGTCATTTGTTTTCCAGCTTTGCAGAGCTGGCAGATGAATTTTAGGCTATACTTCCAGCAAGCATTAGGCTGGGTGTTGCTGAGAGCAGCTTTCAGGTGAACGGTTGTTTCATGGACAGGTTCAAACTCCAACCCTAAGTATCCTTATAGAGAGTACTGACTGGGACCTGCTACAGGGTGTGCACATCAGCGTTCAAGCAGGAATAAGGAGCCATTTGCCTGTGGTTTTCATACGTATTTCATGTATTGTCTCTTCCACCAGTGGAATTTTCTGGCATTGATATTCCTCTCTCCTTTTCAATAGCCTTTACTCCCCCTTTGCTTTTTACCTTTTCTTCTGGAACATAACTTCCTTCATTTACACTCATCTGAAGTTTCTCTTGCTTAGTCTTAATTCTCTTACTGCTCATTCAAGCATACCCTTCCCCCCCAAGGCTTCCTACCTCTGCAGATTACAATCTGTCATTATCTCTGGTCTCTTTGTAGCCAAACTCAGATCTTCCCTGAGACATCCAAATGCCACATGCAACTTTGTCAGGAAGGTAAACATGAAAGGAATAGTTGCAGCATGTTAGCAGGCTTCTAAGGACTGGGTGGAGGAAGGAGAAATTAAGAGAAAGGGCAGTAGCAGGCAGGTAAAGCTTTTAAATCAGACTACTGCAATAAGCACTTGAAAAACAGTAGAAAGATTTTCTTCCCAAACATGGTTCAGTAGGTTGCAACTCTGGTTATTTACTACATAGAGGAAAAGAGATCAAGTGTCTAGAGAAGCAACTGTTAAGATACTGTCCATGAAAGAAGAGACATGAAACAAATCAAGCCAGGCTGAATGAAAGAGATGCTCTTTTCATAAGACAAAAGTAGGTTATTTAAAACTAGACTATCAGGTTTGGACAAATTTTTCCCAAATGTTTCACCTCTTCAGGTAGACAGATGTTTCTTCCAGATACTGTTTCAGTAGCTTGTGTTGCTTCAGGGAGACAGTGCTGATGGTCAGCATCTATAGCAGACACAGAGCCCATCTCATGCTAAGTGACAGAGAGCTAGGACTACCTGCATCTGACCAATTCATTTAAAACCTAGAAAAGGGATAACTGGGAGGCATACATATGACATAAAAGATGTAGCTGAAATAAAAGCTTATCTGAGTATTACTTTCTTAGTCCTCCCCTTTTCCTAGGTGGATACATGGCAAACGTGTTTATGTTGTAGTCAGTGAACCACTGAAATGGGCACCTCACCCCCCCCACCTAATTAGAGCCTGTTCTTCAGTGAGGCTACGACCATGCAGCAGCTAAAGTTTAATAACCCTGTTCTGATCTCCTTGGTAATTAATAGCTCAAGTTGATAATGATTTTACCTGTAAGACAACTAGCTGTAGTACCCTCCAGCTGAATCCACTGGCTTTGCCATTGCAGAACTACCAATAACCAGTCCACCCACCTGAAGCTCTAATGAAAAACTTTCAAGAGGCTTAGGGCAGTACCAGACAGTCACCAAGTGTGCTAATTAGCACATCACCTTAAAGGACACACTTGAAATGTCTACAGTGTACTAAAAACAGGACACACTTGAAATGTCTACAGTGTAATAAAAAAAAAACAAGAAAAAGTTCATTAATATATTAATTTATTTCATTATTTCAGTTTTAGTTCAATTGAACATCAGTGCAGACAACTTTTTGCTTTGTGAAGATACACGGAATTTTTGAAACACTATTTCCATATCTTGCAAAGGATCTTTGAAAAATCAGATTATGGTTTCAACCACATGATTGTAGAAATTTGTCAGTGAAGAGGCTGCAGTTAGGAACTCAGCCTGGTACTTTAGTATAGCTTATATTTTCAGACAATTTTCACTCAATATCATATTAGAAAATACTGCTTTAGAAAATACCACTTTAGAAGAAAACATGACTTTAATTCATGTTATAAATGTCATCACACTGTTGGGTAGCTAGAGACATCACTTAGTACAACAGAGCGAGATCTTCAGAAGTACCTATCAAGAATTCACAATATTATATTTTAAACTAGGTATAGACAACTTAAGTCTTGTCTCTAGACAAAATGTATTACCGAAATTTGACGTATAATATATACACAGGTTCCAATACAAATGTTGGAGGAATTTTCATACAAAATTAACTATGACGTAGTGGACAATTTTTTAAATTGATGCATCCTCATCTCAAACAGATATATTACTCCAATTTTATTCTGTTTCCCTAGGAAATATTTTGTTGTCCATTACATCACAATAGCATATAGTTTTTAAAAAAAGTTGATTGAGAACAATTGAACTACATGATGATGTTGGTTTAGACATATTTCTTGATTTCATCATAAAGTACCAATACAAAAGCTCCGCCCATGCCTCTCAACACATTCGACCAGGCTCCTTTGAAGAACGCTTTGCTTCCTTCATCTTTAGCTATCTTCTTCCAGCAATCAATTGTGCCCTTGTACATAATGTCAGCTGTGGAAACAGACATAAAGGTCAGAAAAATTGAAGCTATACAGCAAGTCTGTTTCCACTTCCATATATTTTAAGTGACAAGGAATAAGCAAAGTATAGCCAAGAATTTTAAATTAGGTAATCAGACTCATGAAGAGTAATTAATTCTCCACATGGAAATCCAACCAAATCAGCTCTCTGCCTCTTAAGTCAACATGACAGAAATAGCCAGCATTGTTTCCCATAGCTTTTTTTTAAGATTCCCAATGAGAAGGTCATTTGCTTGCCATAAGACAGGAAGTACCCAAGCATGTCCCATCATATCTCAATGAGAAGATACTTTCTGCTGCCAGAACATCATAGAAGCACTTGTCCTTACCTCCCTTTCGTCCCGACTGCATCATCATCCTACGTCGCACAGTATCAAAAGGATAAGAAACCAGCCCTGCTACCGCAGTGACAGTCTGGGCAATCATCCAGCTCACTATGATATGCACATTCTTTGGATCAGGCAACATACCTGTCATCAAGAACAAATGAGGAAAGTCAGTACAGAGAGACACGTTGTCAGAAAGATGGCTGTGGATGGAACAATCACATGCCAACCCAAGGAGTCAATCAACTCAATCAAGACTGCAACTTCTCCCTTCATCCGTTTCTGACTATTAATGGGCACTATGAGTGAAACAAGTCTCTAGGACTGTTGGATTTTGGTATCTAAGACCTCTTCATGCCCCCTGACCGAAAAGTCTCTCCTGTAGAACTCTCAGGCTTGTCAAAAGTGACAGCAAATAACAAGCTACCATACATGCCCATCTGCACAAGCCTTAACACAGGAAAAAATAGAAAGTGTCCAAAGAAACTTGGCAAACCCAAGGTTTTTTGGCTGCTCAGAGCAGCAAGCTGAGGAAAACAGGAATGCATTTCAGAAACACCTGGGCATATTACAGCACAACCACCCTGAACTGGTGCCAAGCCAAGCCCTGCTTGTCCCTGTACCATCATGTGCCCTGCAGTGTCTTTACTGAACTGGCCCTTTCCTTGCAGTCAATTCTCCATGCACTTCTTACCCTTGGCCGTGTCGTAAACCCCAAAATAGGCCGCTCTGTAGATGATGATGCCCTGGACAGACACGCTGAACCCTTGGTACAGGCCCCTCAAGCCATCAGACTTGAAAATCTTGACAATGCAGTCGCCCAGCCCAGTGAACTCCCTCTCACTAGCTCCTTTGCCCACATCAGCTGCCAGCCGGGTCCTGGCAAAATCCAGCGGGTAGACGAAGCAGAGGGAGGTGGCTCCCGCGGCACCCCCAGATGCCAGGTTCCCTGCGAAGTAGCGCCAGAACTGCTTGTGCCTGTCCACTCCCCCCAGGAAGATCTGCTTGTACTTGTCCTTGAAGGCGAAGTTGAGGGCCTGAGTGGGGAAGTACCGGATGACATTGGCCAAGTTGCCTCTCCAGAAGGAGATGATGCCTTGCTCCTTGGGGATGCGGACTATGCAGTCGATGATGCCCTTGTACTGCTTCTCTGCTGTGATCTGTTTGCTGGCATGCTGGACCTGTACGGAGAAAAAGGAGGAGGGGTGGGAAGGGTGAGGGGCTGGGCACTGCAGAGGTGACCGCGCGAGGCGGCCTGCCCAAGGGCAGGGACAGGGACACGGGGCCCGGCCCCC